ATTTCAAACTATATTACAAATCCGTAATCACCAAGACAGCATAGTACTGGCACAAAAACAGACACATAGATCAATGGAACAAATAGAGAGCCCAGATATGGACATTCAACTCTATGGTCAAATAATCTCTGACAAAGCAGGAAAAAATATCCAGTGGAAAAAAGACAGTCTCTTCAATTAATGGTGCTGGGAAAACTGGACAGCTATGTATAGAAGAATGAAACTCAACCGTTCTCTTACACCATACACAAAGATAAACTCTAAATGGATGAAAGACCATTTCATTCATGAGACAGGAATCCATCAAAATCCTAGAGGAGAAAATAGGCAGTAACCTCTTCAACATAGGCCACAACAACTTCTTTCAAGACTTGTCTCCAAAGGCAAGGGAAACAAAAGCAAAAATGAACTTTTGGAACTTCATCAAGATCAAAAGTTTCTGCACAGCAAAGGAAACAGTCAACAAAACAAAGAGGCAAACTACAGAATGGGAAAAGATATTTGCTACAGATATGACACTACAGATAAAGGACTGATATCCAAGATCTATAAAGAACTTTTCAAACTCAACACCCAAAATATAAATAATCAAGTCAAAAAATGGGCAGAGGACATGAACAGACACTTCTCAAAAGAAGACATACAAATGGCTAGCAGACACATGAAAATATGTTCATCATCACTAGCCATCAAGAAAATTCAAATCAAAATCACATTAAGATATCACCTTACAAATAGCATGGAGGACAAGGGGAGATGGAGAGGAGAAGGTAGTTGAGGGGAAATTGGAAGGGGAGGTGAACCATGAGAGACTATGGACTCTGAAAAACAACCTGTGGGTTTTGAAGGGGCGGGGGGTGGGAGGTTGGGGAATCCAGATGGTGGGTATTGGAGAGGGCACGGATTGCATGGAGCACTGGGTGTGGTGCAAAAATAATGAATACTGTTACGGTGAAAAAATAAAAAATTTAAAAAAAAAAGATATCACCTTACACTAGTTAGAATGGCAAAGATTAACACGGCAAGAAACAACAAATGTTGGAGGCTGTGGAGAAGGGGAACCCTCTTACACTGTCAGTGGAAATGAAAGTTGGTGCAGCCACTTTGAAAAACAGTGTGGAGGTTCCTCAAAAAATTAAAAATGGAGTTACCTTATTACCCAGCAATTGTGCTAATGGTATTTACTCCAAAGATACAGATGTAGTAAAAAGAAGGGCCATATGCTCCCTAGTGTTCAGAGCAGCAATGTCCACAATAGCCAAACTATGGAAAGAGCAGAGATGCCCACCAACAGAAGAATGAATAAAGATGTGGTCCATATATGCAATGGAAGATTACTCAACCATCAGAAAGGATGAATATCCAGCTTTTGCATCAACATGGATGGGACTGGAGGAGAATATGTTGAATGAAATAAGTCAAGCAGAGACATCAATTGTCATATGGTTTCACCTATTTGTCGGACATAAGAAATAGCATGGAGGACATTAGGATAAGGAAGAGAAAAATGAAGGGGGGTACATCGGAGGGGGAGATAAACCATGAGAGACTATGGACTCCAGAAACAAACTGAGGATTTTAGAGGGGAGGGGGTTGGGGGGATGGGTGAGCCTTGTGATGGGTATTAAGGAGGGCACGTATTGCATGGAGCACTGGGTGTTACACACAAACAATGAATCATGGAACACTACATCAAAAACTAATGATGTACTGTGTGGTGACTAACATAACATAATAAAAAAGAGAGAGAATCAATGGACTTGAAGTTAGGTCAAAAGAGAAGCAGTAAGAAAAAAGAATGAAGAATAATAAACTACTGTTCAAATTAATAGGTGAAGCTGTCCCAAATTTGATAAAAGATATTATCTACACATCCAAGAATCTCAACAAAGTCCAAGGAGAAAAACTCAGACTCAGAGGTCTATGCTGAGATACATTAGAATCAAAGTATCAAATCAAATCCAACGATAAGAAATAATCTTGAAAGTAGCAAAGAAGAAGCATCGCATCGCATATAAAAGGTCCTAATTAACAGTGAGTCAATTTCACCTTAGAAACCATGGAAGCCAGGAAGCAGGTATAAGAAATATTTAAAAGGGGAAAAAAAACTATCAAGCAACAATTTTTTTTTTTAAAGATCACAAGTGGGCAGAGAGGCAGAGAGAGAGGGAAGCAGGCTTGCCACTGAGCAGAGAGCCCGATGTGGGGCTCAATCCCAGGGCCCTGAGATCATGACCCGAGCCGAAGGCAGAGGCTCAACCCACTGAGCCACCCAGGTGCCCCTCAAGCAACAATTTTACAGCAAGCAATAATATCCTTCAAGATTGAAGAGAAATGAAGATATCCTCCAATAAATAAAAATTGACGAAATTTGTTACAAGTAGACATGACCTGCAAGAAATGCTGAAGTATAAGAACATCAGACAGTAACTTGAAGCTAAATGAAGGTATAGAGGACAATGGTAAAAGTCACTATAGGTACCATTAGGTAACTATAGGTCATAATGGGAAATATAAAAGCCATTATTATTGTGTTTCTGTTTTTAAATTGTTTTCCTTACATAATTTAAAAGTCAAATGCATGAAATAATTATAAATCTGTATCAGTGGGAACACAATGACAAAGATATACTGAAGATGTACAGGAGCAAATTTTTAGATGCTACTTCAACTTGGCTGGTACTAATTCGAACTAGGTAATTGCAAATTTTTTTAAAGATTTTATTTATTTATCTGACAGACAGAGATCACAAGTAGGCAGAGAGGCAGGCAGAGAGAGAGGGGGAGGCAGGCTCCCTGCTGAGCAGAGCCCGACATGGGGCTTGATCCCAGGAACCTGGGATCATGACCTGAGCCGAAGGCAGAGGCAATAATTGCAAATTTAAGATGTGATTTGTAATCCCTGGAGAAACCACTAAAATAAATCACTAAAAGATAGAAAGGCATTAATGGGGGGGGGGCACCTGGGTGGCTCAGTGGGTTAAAGCCTCTGCCTTCGGCTCAGGTCATGATCCCGGGGTCCTGAGATCGAGCCCCCCATCAGGCTCTCTGCTCTGCGGGGAGCCTGCTTCCTCCTCTCTCTCTCTCTGCCTGTCTGTCTGCCTATTTCTGATTTCTTCAAATTAATAAATAAAATCTAAAAGAGAAAAAAAGGCATTAATGGGAAACTGAGGACAAAAGAAATAAGAAACATACAGAAAATAAATTAAAATCGCAGTGGTAAGAACTTTGTTATCAGTAATTATTTTAAATGAATTAAACTCTCCAATTAAAAAGCAAAGTTTTGGAGAAAGGAAATGGGAATCGTATATTGCTGTCTACAAGAGACTTGCTTCTTTTTTCCCCAACTTTATTGAGATATAATTGACAAATAACATTGCATAAGTTTAAGGCATTAAGATTCTTCTTGACTTTTTTTGTTTTCCATCTATTTAAAAGTATACTTGATATGCTGTAATATTCAGCCTGTACCAGACAATTCAATTCTCTATTTTTCTACATTGCATATAATATAAACTGCAACTCCAGAAAAAAATGCTTCTTTTTTCCATTTTATTTTACCCCAGAACATGCCACATCTAGATGATGGTAACATTCTTCCTACTGGCCTCCCTCCCTTCTTCTCTTCTTGGTCACTCCAGATTCATTTTCAAAATAGCATCCATAATGATCTTGTTTTAAACTCATTTTGTGTCATTTGCCTGATGAAAATCTCCCAGAGGTTTCTAACTGCACATAGACTAAAATCCAAAATATGTGTTATGGCCTATAACTTCTAAATTAATTGATTCAACACTCTGCTTCATCATGAGCCAACCACATAGACCTCCTCATTTTGTTTCAATGGGTCCAAACCTTTTGATGCCTTCAGTCAATGAATCTAACTCCTCTCCAGATGCCATCCTTAAGCTTGGAGAAGATTCAAAAACTATCTCATGTAAAATATGCCCATCCTCCACTCACTTTATTAATATTATCTTTTATGATGTGCATGATTCATTATCTTTAAGTTTCTATTTCCTTTTTTGTAAAATTATTGTTAGTTTTACTGTCAGTTTTCCATTTGACATTATAGTCTGTGAATAAAGAGACACTGACTCTTGTAGAGCACTGATCTCCCATCGTTGTGGTCCTGCTTGGCATATACAAGTTCACAATAAAGATTGATTAGATGAATTAATAATTAGGGGGAAAATATGAAAGGCTAAAATTGACACTGTTCCCTTGGAGGCTTTGACTATGCTTTAGGAATCTTATTATTCCTTACTCACATCCAGTAACTTCTTTGTTTCCATTAAAAGTATGAGAAACTCCAGCTCAACTTCAGTTCCAATAGATTCCTGTTTTTGATGTAATTTTTTTATGAAGGAATTTTCCATGTTCTAAATTATATCCTGGAAACCTGGATTTCAGAAGTATAAAGTTCTAACAATGTGGAATTTATCAATATGTTTGTGCTAGTCTTTAAGTGAGATCAATTTAGCACTTGCCAAAAAAGATAAGTGCCAAGTAGCTATGTTCCCTGGCAACAAGATCATGCACATGTGGTATTTTAACTATTACACTATGTAAAATTTAATTTATCCTCATGCTGTGTCAACTGATTTTGCATAATTTCATCATAAGCATCAAGTTTATGTTACTAAAACATGCAAGGATCTTTCAAAGATTTTCATTGTGTTCTTGACTACTGTTTTCTAATATTACCAATATTTAACTCATGTAAGTAGACAAAATGTTTTCCTAGTGATTATCCAGAGACTTTCGTATCTAGTCAGATATAATTGGAAGCCTAAATCTAAAAGGGGAGACAATCACAACTGCAATGTTGCATATCTTTCATGCTGCTACATCTTTATAAAATAAAAAAGATTTTTTTATTTTTATATTTTATTTTTTATTTTATTTTTTAATTTTTATTATATTTTATTTTATTTTTTTATTTTAATTTTTTTATTTTTATAAAAATACAGGATCCCAAAGGACTGTATTTTACTTACCTAGCTGATTGCATTTAGGAGGAAAAGACCAGCCACGTTCTGTACATTGGATACTCTTCTGATTATATGGAAGCCTGTAACCCTTATTACAGACAATTTGTACAGTGTCACCTTCCTGGTGTATCCGTCCTGAAGATGCCGAACGACCATTTTCCACCCAAGGAAAAAAGCACTGCCCTAAAAATCCAAAAGATGGTGAATATAAATCTTGTAATGAAAGAATATTACATTTTGCAAGCTTCAAAAGAGAAATCAAGAACAAAAAATTCAATTCTTAAAAATTAGTTCTCACAAGTTTAAAAGAAAAAAATATGTAACATCATCAATTGCCATGTGCATATATAAAACTTCTTACATTTGCAAAATTCCTCTAGATATTAGAAAAGTTCATTTTTATTTTTCATTTGATCATCTAAATTGATTTCTGGAGAAAGAGATGATTTTTCTCTCCTTTGCCTTTGTTACTTTTCTCTTTCATGACACTGCCTTCTTCATGTCTGCTTTTTCTCTGTATTCATTGAGAGGGTGAGACAGATATAATTTTAAAAAACAAAGATGTAATCAGTAAAAACCACAAAATTAAGGAAAGTAGCTTAAAAATGCTTCTTGAATATTCGAAGGAACAGAGCATTTTGAATCTGTTATTACACATACAGATAAACTCTTTTTTATTTTTTATTTTTTTATCTGAGAGAGGGTGTGTGAGCACACAAGTGGGGGAGCAGCAGGCAAAGGGAGCAAAAGAAGCAGGCTTCCTGTTGAGTAAGGAGCCCCATGCAGGGCTCAATCCCAGGACCCTGGGACCATGACCAGAGGTGAAGGCAGATGCTGAACCAAATGAGCCACCCAGGTGCCCCACAAATAAACTCTCTTGAGAAAATCTACATTCATACAATTACCAAATGAGTGTGTTTAAATTAAATTGTAGCAGTTAATGTATTAACTATTAATATTTAAAATGAAAGATCAGATATTCCACAAAAGTTTGTACTTGTTTTTTTTTTTTCTGATTTGATTTCCACAACCAGCTTCTTATAAATGAGGAATGACTATTTTGCCTTTGCTGGCTCCTCGAGCCCCTAACTCTACGACAGTCTAAACTCTGTGAGCCCCCCACCCCAGCATTGCCCTCATCCCCATCTCCCCCACTAAATGCACTGAATAATTCATAGAGATAGTGACAGGTATTTACTCACTGATACACTTTGGTGTTGGTGACCATCCCTCCTCTGTGCAGATTATTTGAGTCCAGAGTGATTGTGAAGGAGACGCAAAACTGCGATCACAGGAATAGTAGAAATATTTTCCTACCGCAACTGGGAAGCTGTATTTATATCTGTCTTCATCATACATGTTTCCATGTTTTATTTCTGGAAAATCACAACTTCCTCCTTAAAAAAAATAGTATCATACATTAATAATTATATATTATTTTAATAATATTGATGAATTTATTATTCTATTTAAATTAATTGTTCCATTTACATTTGTGATTCAAGAACTGGGACAATCTATAACTAAGAGTACAAAGCTATTTGAAGCATTTGTGATGTTTAAGTTCTTCAGAAGTGTATCCAAGATTAAAATGTAAACACTGAAGAAATAAAAATGATTCTATCCAGTAGACTGCTCGGATTTAAGAATTTTACTTGGGGGATGGTCAGGCTATTGATAGTTCTCTGTTCACTTCCTGTGTCTCTTCTTCTTGTGTCTTCTGCAGATCTCCCCTCAAAAACCTTGGCTCTTTCTGTCCCTCTTCTCCTACTCTAGGCAACACATTACATAGGATATATGAACATATACACATATGGAACTATAAACTGTAAAACGGGTGGCTTAAATATCAGGAATTAATTTTCTTGTAATTCTAGAGGCTAGAAATCAGAGATCAGGTGTCAGCAGGAATGGTTTCTTCTGTGGCATCTTTCCTTGGCTTGTAGATGACCTCTTCTCCCTCGGTCTTCCCATCATCTTCCCTTTATGCATCTGTGTCCTAAATTCCTCCTCTTATAGGGACACCAGTTTTATTGGGCTAGGATCCACTCTAATGACCTTGTTGCAATTTAATTTCCTCTCTAAAGACCCTATTTCTGTATACAGTCGCACTCTTGGGTCCTGGGAGTTAGGATTTCAGCATTTGAATTTTGCAGGAACACAATTCAAACCATGCCAATAAACATGCAAAGATGTTTTCTGTATACAAAACAGTGTGCTTCCACTGAGCTAGTTCATTTCTCCTTTGAGAAACATTGGTGCAAACCAGACTTATAGGGCATTCATCTCAAAGGCTACTTTCAGAAAGAATTGACTGAGAAAGGTAGTTTTAAACTAGATGAGATGTTTTGTTGTCTTTTTTTTATTGTTGCTAGTAAAGGGAATTGTCTGGATATGGTCCTCAAGAGCATATAAAACTCTCTGTACAGCAAATTACCAAAATGAATTTTAGTAAATTCAGGAGTAAAGCATTGTGATTTATATTCTATTCAAAAATGGTGCAATGGAGTATCCTAAAGCACTTAAGAATTTCATTTATAATAATTTGGAAATGAGTGTTTTTTATTTTAAAAGAAAGAGCCTTAAAAAGATATTATAATGAAGAATTTATAAAGACATTAAGGAAGAAAAAATGCAATTTTTATAAATAAAAATCTTAAAGATTTTACATATGCAGTGAAAGGCTATTAGAACTAGTACAAAACATTGCTCTCTAAAGTTTAAAAATCTACCAATTATATTTATTATGTCTTGAGATATAACTTTTAATATACAAGGACTGAATTCAGAAATATAATCTAGAAAATATATTACTCAAAAGGTGAAAACAAATTAGTAAATAATGTGCTACATTTAATTCTCTGAAAATTAGTTATGTACTCAATATTTACCAGTGGACTCAGCAATGTAAATTAAAATTTATTGTTTTGATGCTAATTTTATTGAAAATTAAATTGATCATAATTGTTTTTAAACAGCTTTAGTTTTTTAAAGATTTGCTTATTTATTTAGAGTGCAAGCAGAGGGAGGGGGTGGGGGAGAGGGAGAGAAGCAGACTCCGCACTGATCCCAGAGCCAGACATGGGGCTTAATCCCATGACCCTGAGACCATGACCTGAGCTGAAACCAAGAGTCAGAATGGAGAAAGCAGTTTCACCAAATAAAACATAAATTTCTTTATTTAACTAAACTACTAGCTTAGGACAAATACATATTCTGTCCCATAAAGATAGATGTTTTTATATTTTATATTTTAAGTAGTTTTTGTTAAGTGATAAGTATATAAAGGTATACTTAAAAATTATATATCTACATATTATGAATAATAACACAGACTTTAAACTTATTCAAATCCACAATATTTTTTAAAGATTTTTTATATTTATTTGAAAGAGAGAGAGGGAGTGAGAGAGAACATGAGCAGGGGGAGGGGGAGAGGCAGATTCCCTCACTGAGCAGGGAGTCCAATGTGGGACTCAATCCCAGGACCCTGGGATCATGACCTGAGTTAAAGGCAGTTGCTTAACCAATTGAGCCATCTAGGTGCCCCCACAAATCCAAAATATTTTAGAATAACTTTATCTCAACCAAAAAGCATCCTCTTGCATTAACAGAAATTACTATTAACTGCTGATCATTACTAATTAATTCAGATTTTTAAGTGACTTTCAATAGTTAAAAATATGACAAATATTACACTTCTCCTAAATGTAAGAAGTTTTGACACATGAATTCATAAAACTATCACCATAACAAGATTATGTAGATATCCATTTCTTGCGTTAAAAATAAGAAACCTCCATATATGTTGAGGTCAGAATATCACTTTTCTTCTGACATATTTCCAAAAGTTGTGGGAGCATACTCACACATCTCCATAATCAACATTGAGTGTCCTTTTCCTGTCACATTTAGGAAATAGAAAACAGAATTTATTTTATTTTCCTGTTAGATAAACACGAGATAATTTTCCTATAAAGTTGTGCTCTATTATGATGCCACAATACAGACTATTTTTACTAGTAAATTCATTAAAAAATATAGACACATGAAAGTAGATATGATATGAAGTTACGTTTAAGAAAGAAGGTTAAATGTTCAGATCTGTTTTCAACTTACCTTGTCCATGAGCACAGGAAACCCACAAGATGAGAATAACACTGACTAGTAATAGCATGTTCGTTATTCCAATGCTATATTAATATAAATATTCCAGTTGTGCTGTTTGGAGTTGCAAATCTGGTTCACTAGCAGTTATCAAGTGTGATCCTGACTTTAAATACACTATCATGAAGTTTGTTAATTGTGATTGCTCAGTAAATATCAAAGTTCAAAGAAGTTTGCAAAGTCCCTCAGTTTCTATTGGTTAATTGTTTCACAATGATTTCTTGAATTCATTTCCAGATACACACTGTACAACATTCTTTACCGACAATAATAGACTGGCTCCAAAAGTGATGTAAAACACGAAACTTTGAGTTAAACATAGATTGAAAATCAATACGGCTCTGTTCTCAACCGGGTGAATTATATGCAAATAACTGAGTCCCTGTCATTGTATTTTTCTCTTATCCTTTACTTACCTTCATTACTTCATTACTTAGGGGTCTATGAAAACCAATGTGTATATTTGGACCCCATTCCATTATCTGTATTTTCTTATGCTTAGGGAAACACTGTTTTACTCTTAAACTCACATTAGGTTATGCTACTAAGTATAAGAGCTTCAGCATATTCTTGGCACTTAAACATTTTTTAACTAATGTGCTTTAAGTCACCTTTTATTTAGGGTACAATATGTTCAGATGCATGTAATGATTTCCCTTTTCATGTAGCAATATAGCTCAAATGTCCTCACAGCTGTCCTTTCACTGATTTATTAATTGCATTAATTCTTTATTTTTTAGATATATATTTACATGTATATAGCCAATTATATTTGTCATCTTCTAAAATACAATTATTTAATATAAGAGAATTGTTTTCAAGCAGATAATGAATATGGAAAATACAATATTATTATAAGGGAGAAGATAATAAATCAGTCATCAATGTCATAGAGTTAATGCATTGAAATTTATTTACTTCCTTACTATAACTACGTAGCTTTAAAATATTAAATAACTTAGTAATATAATAATTAATACTTCTAGAATAGCAAAAGAGCTTAAAGTAACAGATATAAACTTACCATAAATTTCAAAAATGAACTGATTGAGTAAATGCAAGCAGAAAATGGATAGTTTCCAATCTTTGAAAGAATGGAATTAAATTGTAAACCATATTTATCCATTTCATGAATTTAGAACACACCCACATCTGTTTGATACATGGATGACACAGTTAAGGCAGAAAGCAGGAGTCTCTCTTGAGTATGGGGCTGGGAGAACCTCTGCCAAGTGAGAAGAGAACTGTATGGAGCCCCATCAAGGAAATCCCCATTAATCTCCATAAGTCCCCTTAAATTATTTCCTAATCTACATGAGTTTGAATGGGGCAAAACTCCAAGCAGCCCAGTGGGAAGAAATTGCTGCAAGGATGAAAACTTTGAAAAATTCAAGTAGTACCTAGTGTAGAAGAGAATGAGTTTGGAGGGGAAGGTTTAGGGGCTCTGGTTGGTTAGTTTGCAGATCAAAGACAGGCTTCTGGCTGGGCTCCTTGCTATCTCTAAGATTTAGTAGAGAAGGTTTTGTAAGATTTCAAACCATCATAATACACAGAAAACATTTGGTTTTCTTTTTTTTTTTTTTTTTTTGCTTTTTTATTTAATTAACATATAATGTATTATCTGCTTCAGGGGTATAGGTCTGTTAAATTCATTTCTTCCAATAGTTACTCTGAATGTAAATGGATTAAATGCCCCAATCAAAAGACACAGGGTATCAGAGTAGATAAAAAAGTGAGGCCCATTCATATGCTATGTGCAAGAGACTCATTTAAACCCAAAGACAACTCCAGATTGAAAGTAAGGGGGTGGAAAACCATTTATCATGCTAATGGATTAAAAAAAAAAAAAGCTGGGGTGGCAACCCTTATATCAGACAAATTAGATTTAAAACCAAAGACTGTAATAAGAGATGAGGAAGGACACTATATTATAATCAAAGGGTCTATCCAATAAAAAGATCTAATAGTTATAAATATTTATGCCCCAACATGGGAGCAGCCAGTTATATAAGCCAATTAATAACAAAATTAAAGAAACATATCGATAATAAAACAATAATAGTAGGGGACATTAACACCCCCACCCAAAATAATGTACACATTATCTAAGCAGAAGATCAGCAAGGAAACAAGGGCTTTGAGTAATGCACTGGACCAGATGGACCTTACAGGTATATTCAGAGAATTCACACTAAAGCAACAGAACACACATTTCAAGAAGAATTAATACCTATTCTTCTGAAGCTGTTTCAGAAAATCCAAACTGAAGGAAAACTTCCAAACTCTTTCTGTGAGGCCAACATAATCTTGATCCCAAATCCAAAGACCCCACCAAAAAGGAAAATTAAAGCCAATAAAAAATTGTCATCAAGGTACTAGTCAATAAGATCCGATAGTATTTTAAAAGGATTATTCACCATGATCATTCCTGGGCTATAAGGGGTGGTTCTACAACAGCAAGTCAATCAGTGTGATATGCTACATTAATAAAAGAAAGGACAAGAACCATATGTTCCTCTCAATAGATGTAGAAAAAGCATATGACAAAATACAGCATCCTTTCTTGATTTAAAGTCTTCACAGTGTAGGGATAGAGGGAATACACCTCAATATCATAAAAGCCATATACGAAAATCCCACAGTGAATATGATTCTCAATGGGGAAAAAATAAGAGCTTTTCCCCTAAGGTCAGGAACATGTTAGGGATGTCCAGTCTCACCACTATGGTTCAACATAGGACTAGCCTCGGCAATCAGATAACAAAAAGAAATAAAAGACATCTGAATTAGCAAAGAAGTCAAACTCTCCCCCCTTTGTAGATGACCTGATACTCTATGTGGAAAAGCCAAAAGATTCCACCCCCAAAATTGCTAGAACTCATGCAGGAATTCAGTAAAGTATCAGGATATAAAATCAATGCTCAGAAGTCAGTTGCATTTCTATACACCAACAACAAAACAGAAGAAAGAGAAATTAAGGAGTCAATCCCATTTATAATTGCACCCAGAACTATAAGTTACCTAGGAATAAACCTAACCAAGGAGGTGAAGAATAGGTACTCATAAAACTATAGAATACTCATGAAAGAAATTGAAGAAGACACAAAGATATGGAAAAACATTCCATGCTCATGGTTTGGATGAACAAATATTGTGAAAATGTCTATGCTACTTAGAGTAATCTACACATTTAATACAATCCCTATCAAAATATCATCAGCTTTTTTTGAAGAAATGGAATAAATAATCCTAAAATTTATACAGAACAGAACAGACCCCAATAGCCAGAGGAATGCTGAAAAAGAAAACCAAAGCTGGTGGCACCATAATTCCAGACTTGAAGCTCTATTACAAAGCTGTAATCATCAAGATAGTATGGTACTAGCACAAAACAGACACATAGATCAACGGAACAGAATAGAGAGCCCAGAAATGGACCCTCAACTCTATGGTCAACTAATCTTTGACAAAGCCAGAAAGAATGTCCAATGGAAAAAAGACAGTTTCTTCAACAAATGCTGATGGAAAAATTGGACAGCCACATGCAGAAGAATGAAACTGGGCCATTTCCTTATACCACACACAAATATAGACTCAAAATGAAGGAAAGACCTCAAAATGAGACAGGAATCCATTAAAATCCTTGAGGAGAACACAGGAAGCAACTTCTTTGACCTCAGCCACAGCAACTTCTTTCTAGAAACATTGCCAAAGGCAAGGGAAGCAAAGGCAAAAATGAACTATTGGGACTTCATCAAGATCAAAAGCTTTTGCACAGCAAAGGAAACAGTCAACAAAACCAAAAGACAACTGACAGAATGGGAGAAGATATTCACAAATGACATATCAGATAAAGGGCTAGTATCCAAAATCTATAAAGAACTTAACAAACTCAACACCCAAAGAACAAATTATCCAATCAAGAAGTGGGCAGAGGACATGAACAGACATTTCTGCAAAGAAGACATCCAAATGACCAACATACACATGAAAAAGTGCTCCACATCACTCAACATATGGGAAATACTAATCAAAACCACAGTGAGATACCACCACTCACCAGTTAGAATGGCTAAAATGAACAAGTCAGGAAACGACAGGTATTGGCAAGGATGTGGAGAAAGGAAAACCCTTCTACACTATTGGTGGGAATGCAAGCTGGTGCAGCCACTCTGGAAAACCGTATGAAGGTTCCTCAAAAACTTGAAAATAGGGCTACCCTACAACCCAACAATCACACTACTAGGTATTTACCCTGAAGATACAAATGTAGGAATCCAAAGGGGCACATGCACCTGAACGTTTATAGCAACAATGTCCACAATAGCCAAACTATAGAAAGCCTAGATGTCCATCATCAGATGAATGGATAAAGAAGATGTGGTGTATATATATATATATATATATATATATATACAATGGAATATTATGCAGCCATCAAAAAAACCAAAATCTTGCCATTTGCAAAGACATGGATGGAGCTAGAGAGTATTATATTAAGCAAAGTAAGTCAACCAGAGGAAGACAATTATCATATGATCTCACTGATCTGAGGAATTTATAAACAAGACTGAGGATCATAGGGGAAGGGAGGGAAACATGAAACAAGATAAAACCAGAGAGAGAGACAAACCGTAAGAGACTCTTAATCTCAGGAAACAAACTGAGGGCTGCTGGGGGGAGGGGGGTTAAAGGGAAGGGGTAACTGGCTAATGGACATTGGAGAGAGTATGTGCTATGGTGAGTGCTATGAATTGTGTAAGACTGATGAATCACAGACCTGTACCCCTGAAACAAATAATACATTATATGTTAATTTAAAAAAAGAAAAATTTATAACCTATTCATCAATTGCTAACATAGGATGAATAACAGCTATTATCATTTGTAACCCAACTATAACAATCCTAAATTTATTAGGCTACATTATAATAACACATACTATATTTATATTACTTAAATATAACTTACCTACCACAATACTATTGCTCTCATAATATGAAATAAAATGCCTTATCATATTTATTCTTCTTATTATATTAGCATTAGGAGGCCTCCCACCACTTTCAGCATTCTTACCTAAATGAATAATTATATAAGAAATAAAAAAATTTTAAAAATAACATTATTTTGTTAACATTAATAACTATCATCACAGTACTTACTTAGAATCCATATTCCTATATACAATTAATTTACTCCACATCACTAACTGTATTTCTAGCAATAAACAACATAGAACTAAAATGACAATTAGAAAACATGAAACAATCTTTTTATCACCACTAATAATAGTTTCAACATTATTTCTCCCTCTAACACCAATATTATCAGTGCTGGACTAGGAATTGAGTTCGTATAGACTGAGAGCCTTCAAAATCCTAAGCAAATATAATTTAATTCCTGAAAAATAAGGATTGCAATCAATTCTGCATCAATTAAATGCTAATCAGACACTTATTAAGCTAAGTACTTGCTAGATTAGCAGGCTTTCACCCCAAAAACTTTTAGTCAACAGCTAAATGCCCTAGTCACCTGGCTTCAATCTACTCTCCCTCTGTTAGGGGAGAAAGCCAGAAGGAGTCCAGCAGAACTGAAGCTACAATCCTCCATGGAGATAATATCACATGACCACCTGCTATACAATGAGCCTTAGGTTTTATTTTCTTACTTAGAATAGGAGATCTAACAGGGATTGTCCAGCTAGTTCATCCTTGGATGTTGTTCTCCACAACACATTTTATGTAGTAGCACATTTTTGTTATGTCTTATTGATAGGAGTATAGGAAGATTTGTTCACTGATTCCCATTATTCTCAAAATATACACTCAGGAGTACCAAGATGTTACTCTGATTACCCAGATGTATATATACAACAAAAAAACCCATATCATCTGTAGGTTCATTTATCTCATTAACAGCAATAAATGAATAATTTTCATAATTTGAGAAGCATTTGTATCTAAATGAGAAGGAGCAATAGAATTAACTACTTAATCTTGCAAGACTTCATGGAATCCCCGCCGCCCCCATATCATACATTTAAAGAAACTAACAACCTACTTACATAAATTTTAAATATGAAGAGAATCCTCCAACTGGATGCAAGCCAATATTATAACCACTATTTTTTTCCTAAATGAGAAATTAGTAAAAACAGCATAACTTTGTCAAAGTCAAATTATAGGTTCAAACCCTATGACATTCCAGCTGAGTTTTCAAGATGCAACATGACCTCTCATAGAAGAACTTTTAAACTCTTGTGATCATACACTAATCATATTTTCCTAATTAGCTCTTTATTCCCTTACATCATTTCCCTAATATTAACAACTAAATTAACTCACATAAGCACAATAGTTACACAAGAAGTAAAAATAGTCTGAATTATCCTATCAGACATTATCTTAATTCTAATTGCCCTACCATCACTACAAATTCCTTACATAATGATCAATAACCCTTCCCTGATTATATATTGAAGCTATAAATATACAAATTATGAAGACTTATATTTCAATTGCTATATAATTCTTATATCAGGCCTAAATGAGGAGAATTATAACTATTAGAAGTTGACAATTGAGTAGTTTTACCTACAGAAATAACTTAAGTATTCATTTCATCCAAAGACTTCTTACATTCATGGACTGTCCCCTCTTTAGGCCTAAAAACAGATGATATCCCCAGATATATAAATTGAACAGCCAGCATATCTACAGAACTATGTTTATACTATAGACAATGTTCAGTGACATAGACATATGTCTATGTCTAGACATATGTTTGACATATGTCTAGGCACTGGTTTGACTGTAGGTCAAACCAGTTTTATTCCTATCCTTGAATTAGTTCCAATAAAATATTTCCAAAAATGGCATGCATCTATACTGTAAAGTCATTAAGAAGGTAAATAGCCTTAACCTTTTAAGTTAAAGACTTAAAGTTTAAACCTCTCCTTTAATGATATGCCACAACTAGATACATCAACATAATTTATTACCATTATATCAATAATTATAGTATTATTATATTTCAACAAAAAAAATCAAAATATCTCCATCCTTCAAACCCAGAAGTAAAAGCAATTAAAACATCAGAACATCTCACCTCTTGAAAAACAAAATAAATGCAAATGTGTTCCCCTCTTTCACTACTCCAACAGACTACATTATTCTATTAGATTCCTAAGCATTTTGTTTCCCATACCTTATCAACTAATTTATAACTAATTTCTATGCAACCATGATTAATTCAACTTATATTTAAACAAATCATAATTATACACAATCATAAAGGACAAATTTGGACCCTAATACTTACATCATTTATTTATCAGCTCAACAAATCTCTTAGGCCTTCTACCACACTCATTTACATTTAGGAATGGCTATCCCTTTATGGGCAGGAACAATAAATACTGACCTCCACTATAAAACAAAAGCATCTTCAGTTTATTTCCTACCCCCATGGAACACCTATTCTACTTATTCCTATACTAGTTGTCAAAATCATTAGCCTGTTTAGTCAACCAGTAGTCTGGCCAAACGATTAGCAGCTAACATTACTGCCAGATATCTAATTCACCTAACTGGGGAAACAACTTTAGTCATTTTATCATATTTATTATTCTTATCCTACTTACCATCTTTGAATTCACAGTAGACTTAATTCAAGCTTATGTATTTATTCTATTAAGCCTTCACTTACATGATAATACTTAAAGATCCACAAATGTATGCATATCACATGGTAAATTCCAGTCCTCTCTGGGACCCCTCTCTGTTCTTCCCATAACTTCTGGTCTGGTAATATGATTCCAGTTTAACTCATTCCTATTATTCTTAGCCAACATACTAACCATATACCAATACTGACAGGACATCATTCAAGAAAGTGCATTTCAAGGCCATCACACACCAACTGTCCGAAAAGGACTATGATATGGAATGATCCTGTCTATTATTTCAGAAGTCTTCTTTTTTACTGGTTTCTTCTGAGCTTTTTATCTTTCAAGGCCAGCTGTAAAACCTGAATAAGGTGGTTGCTGACCACTCCTAAATCTCCTGGAAGTATGACTTCTTAATACTTCAGTTCTATTAGCTTCTAGAGTCTCCATTACTTTAGCTCAACACACGCTAAAAGAAGGAAATTGAAAATGTATATCCCAAGCCCTCTTTGTTGCAGTTTTCCTAGGAATTTATTTGACATTACTGCAAACCTCAGAATATTACAAAACACCATTTATTATTTGAGATGGAGGTTATGGCTCACTATTCTTTATAGCCAGGCTCAGACAGATTGTTCATAACTTATCAGTTCTATTTACGTCATTGTCTGCTTTATATGTCAACTAAAATTCCATTTTACACTTAATTACCATTTTGGATTTGAAACAGCTTCCTGGTACTACATTTCACAGACCTATATGTTTCTACCTATTGACGAGGTTCTTATTCTCTCAGTGTTAAATAGTAAAATTGACTTCCAATCAATCAGTTTTTGTATAACCTGAATACAGATTAAGGATTCTTACAGAATAAGGAATAAGGATTAACAAACCTTATACTGACACTATTTACCAATACACTATTAACTTCATTACTTATATTTATTGCATTCTGATTTCCTCAACTAAATGACTATTGACTATGTAGAAAAATCAAGCCCATAAAAATGTGGTTTTGACCCCATAGGTCAACACAACCACACTTCTCCACACAATTTTTCTTAGTAGCCACTCCATTTCTATTATTTGATCTAGAAATTGCCTTCTTCCTACCCCTACACTGAGCATCCCAAACAAACAACCTAAAAATTTTACTTATTATGATGTTAGTTCTGATTTTATTACTAGCCATAAACTTAGCTTATGACTTCAAAAAGGTTAGGATGAACTGAATATGATAATTGAATTAAAGCAAGTAATTTTGACTCATTAAATTATGATTAATTTCATAAGTTTCAAATGTTCTTAGCTTTTAATATTATTTTAGCATTTGCAGTATCTTTTAAAGGACTACTAATATGTTGATCCCACTGAATAGCCTTATTATTATGCATAGAAGGTATAATATCATTATTCATTATAGCAACTGTAATAATGTTAAACATTCACTTTACATCAGCTAGCATAATGCCTATTATCTTATTAGCATTCACAGCCTCTGAGTCTACACTAGGACTGTCATTATTGGTTACAGTATCTAATATCTATGGTATTGACTTGGTACAAAATCTTAACTTTCTTTCATGCTAAAAATTATTATTCAAACCATAACACTAATGTCATTAACATGATTATAAAAAAAATAACATAATCTGAATTAATACTGCAACTTAAGCCTGTTAATCAGCTTTATCAACTTATTCTCCTGGATAAACTTAATTATAATAGCCTTAACTTTTCACTAATCTTCTATTCTGACTCCCCATCAGGAGCTCTGCTAACATTAATAACATGACTTCTCCCATTACTACTTACAGCCAGCTAATGTCATCTGTCCAAAGAATCACTAACCTGAAAAAATATGTATATCAAATACTAATTATACTACCTTTCTTCTTTTATTATGTTCAGTTAGCCATTGTATAGTACATCATTAGTTTTTGATGTAGTATTCAATGATTCATTAGCTATGTATATTACAAAAATTCTTAATTATAACTTTCACTGCTAAAGAATTGGCCCATTTTACCTTTTATTCAAAGCAACATTAGTCCCAAACCTAATATTATTACCGACTGAAGAAATCAGACAGAACGATTAAATGAAGAACTTTACCTCTTACTTTATACACTAGTAGGATCACCTCCACTTCCCATCATGCTAATTTTAATCCAAAATCATATAGGTTCATTACATTTTCCAATACTTCAATACTGAAACCAAACAATGCTCAGTTCTTAATTCAGCATTTTCCTATGACTGACATGCATATTTGTAAAAATATCTCTTTATGGCCTGCGCCCCTGATTACTAAGACCACATGTAGAAGCCCCAGTTGCTGGATCCACAGTATTTGCAGCCATACCACTCAAACTTAGGTAGTCAAATTACACTACAAATTACAATACTAAACCCCTTAACCAATTACATGTCTTACCCTTTCCTTATAAAAGGGTGATGAATAATACAACCAGCTTCATCTATTTACACCAAACAGGTTTAAAAATCACTCATTGCATATTCCTCTGTCAGCCATGTAGCACTAGGGATTGTAGCCATTCTCACCCATGAGTTCACAGAGGAACTACAGTCCTAATAACTGTCCATGGCCTTACCACAACAGTACTACTTTGTCTAGAAAATTCAAACTGTGAATTATTTCACAATTGAACTATAATTCTAGCTCATGGACTGCAGATACTCCTTCCACTAACAGCAGAACGATGACCACTAGCAAGCCTTACCAACGTAGCTTTACCTCCAACAATAAATTTAATTAGAAAACTATTCGTAGTAATACCATCATTCTTGAACATTACTATAATACTAATAGGAATCGATCTTGTGATTACTGCCTATATTCCCTTTATATATTAATCACAAGGCAAATAAACATATCATATCAATAATATTAAACCATCATTTAGGGGCACCTGGGTGGCTCAGTGGGTTAAAGCCTCTGCCTTCAGCTCAGGTCTTGATCCCAGGGTCCTGGGATCGAGCCCCAGGTTGGACTCTCTGCTCAGCGGGGAGCCTGCTTCTCCCTCTCTCTCTCTGCTTCCCTCTCTGCCTACTTGTGATCTGTCTGTCAAATAAATAAATAAAATCTTTTAAAAAAAAAACATCATTTACACAAGAATATGCCCTCATATCCTTATTTATTGCCCCTTCCACTTTTATTGCTTAATCCCCAAATTATTTTAGGACCTATGTTTAATAAAAACATTAGATTGTGAATCTAACAATTAAAACTTATGTTATTTTATCAAGAAAGTATGTAAGAAGTGCTAATTCATACCTCCATATATGATAATATGGCTTTTTCAAGCTTTTAACCAACATAGGTATTCAACTGGTCTTAGGAACCAAAAGGGGGTGCAAACTCCAAATTAAACTAATAAACCTATTCACCCCTTCTATATTAACTTTACTATTTATGTTAATTTTACCAATCATAGTAACCACTTCTAACATCTGCAACAATCTATATCCATACTATGTAAAACCTATCATTTCATATGCCTTCATTGCCAGCTTAACTCCCACAACATTCATTTACTCATGCCAAGAAATAATTATTCCAAACTGTTACTGAATAAATTCAAACCCCAAAACTATCATTTAGCTTTAAATTAGAGTATTTCTCTGTAATATGTGTATCAGTAGCCCCTTTTGTTACATGGTCAATCATGTTAATCTTCTAAGAATTTGGACTTTTTTTAGCCACAATTGGCAAATCTGCCCAATTTGGCCCTCACCCATGACTTCCCTCAGCCACAGAAGGCCTGACATCCATCTCAACCCTACTTCATTCAAGTATAATAGTTGTAGCAGGTATCTTCTTACTAATCCATTTCCAGACAGATAGAAAGTAACAAAGCCATTCAAACCCCAACACTGCCTAGAAGCTATCACCATGCTATGTATAGCAATCTGTGCTCTTATGCAAAATAAGGTTTAAAAAATTTTTGCTCTCTCTACTTGAAGTCAAGTAGACTTAATAATCTGACTATAGACATTAATCAACTATATTTAACATTTCTTCACATTTTAAAAAAGATTTTATTTGTTTGATAGAGAGAGAGAGAGAGAGAGAGATCACAAGTAGGCAGAGAGGCAGACAGACAGAGAGGGGGAAGTAGGCTCCCCACCAAGCAGAGAGCTAATGCAGTGCCTGATCCCAGGACCCTGAGATCATGACCTGAACCGAAAGGCAGAGGCTTAACACACTGAACCACCCAGGTGCCCCAGCATTTCTTCACATCTTAACACATGTGTTCTTCAAATCTATGCTGTTTATATGTTTTGGGTCCATTATAAAAAACCTAAATGATGAACAAGACATCTGACAAAAAATTTATTTAAACCAGGCAGCAATAAGTAGGATTATGAACAGGAATACCTATAGGAATAGGTAGACTTAGTTTCACCATACATTCAGGTTTTTTTAGTGCCAGAATTTTAAAAAGGTCAGAATGAACCAGTAATATTAACAAAAATAGAATGATTTGATCATTCAAACATCATAATAGTAAAATATATAAATGGCTCTATAAATATAGAAATCAGAAGTATCCTGTTTGATGACAATAGATTCTTTTCAATTAATTCTGCTGAAAATAGAATATTAGTTTGCATCCTGTCCTTACCTACACACTGAGGTGGAGATCTCCATTTTCCCAAATAGCACGTTATCCCATCTTCTCCAGATATCCTGAAACCATCTTCACAAATATAACTTAATTTAGTGCCATGTACATAAAAAGTGGGTTTAAATGTTTCTTTCCTTTCTTCTGAAGAACTAGATGCTTTCACGACTCCATGTTCTATATGAGGTGGTTTTGAACATAGAATCTTTTCTATATGAAGAACAGAGATCAAAGAGTCAAGCACCAATACAAAGCTTACATAGAAAAACACAATCAAATCCTACTTGGGATTTCAAAATAAGGACAATATGAGCAAATTAAATCATTTAAAACTGAAATATTTGCAACTTGCAAGGATATATGTCTCCGTAATATCTATGCTGCTATCCTCTGAGGTTCAATACGCCCCTTCATTCTTATCTTGCTCATTAAAAGGAGTAAAAGAGGGATAAAAGGAAATTTTTTCTCATAGTAACTCTACATAGTAACCCAAAGTTTTTGTCTGTGTTCATTTCACAGAAGCAGTGAATGAATGCTGATTAATTTGTATACTTAGGTTGTAATATACTGTTTCAAGATAAAATGGAATATAGAGAAAGTCTTCCACTTGTTCATCTACGAAAAGCATAGGGGAGTGTTAATACCATTTGAAAGAACATAATAAAGCAAGTTATGCACTACTGACCAACACAGCGTGGTATTGACAGCCATCTTCCATCTTTGATTATGGGTGTTGGGTAAGGGAAGTATACCATGAGCCTGGAACATTGTGTTGTGCTATAAAGAAAAGAAATATGGTGAGCACTGTGTATTGTACAAGACTGATGAATCACAGACCTGTACCCCTGAAACAAATAATACATTATATCTTAATAATAATAAAAAAAATGATTTTAAAAAAGAAATACTCAAAGATTAACAGAGATATAACAAAGCAATTAGGAACTAGTTGCAAGAAGCACTCACTAGCCAATTTTGGGGTAACTTAAGCTTTAAAGAATAACACTATAACTGATTATAGCAAATTGAATAAAAATTCATGAGTCCACACTGATACATTTTTCAAAAAGAAAGAAATGAATCCTTAATGCTGTCATAGAAGGTCACCATTACATCAAGTCCTCACTCCAAATATTGGAAATTAAAGAGCAAAAAAAAATTTACTAAATCTTGTTAGGTGAAAGTTTTAAAAAGAGTTGGAAAAATAACATTCATCTTTACACAAGAATGACAATGAATAAGCACAGAAAGGTTATAGAATTGATCTTTAAAAATTACTACTTTGCAACCAACAATGCAATAACTGGTTATTGGCCATACTAATTGTAGGTTAAATGTTATAGATTCCATAAACATCAGGTGAAATGTTTTGGACAAATAATATATATACCAATGTTAATACTAACAGCAAAGATAATTTGCCACTTAAATGTGAGAAAATTAGTTGTCACTTGTGATTCATATTCAGATAAACTGGTTCCATTGGTGATGGCAGGTTTTTCATTCATTTTTCCCTCAAATTTTTATTTAAATTCTAGTTAGTTAACGTGCTTAGAATACCACCTGATTTGATGCACTATGAAGTAACAAGATAAGACCTTAAATTTTTTTTTACCTAATTTATATCCTTATCTTCATCTTAAAGTTTTCATGCTTTTGTAGAAACTTAAAATGTTACAGTCAACGATTTTAACTAATTACGTAGTGTGAAATGTATGACCATAAAACTCATATTCCAGACACTTGTTGTTGACTGTTTTCAAAACCCTCTATACAAGCAAAATCATGAAAATGTTTTCAGATCTGATGATCATCACCAAAGAGGTTTTCACAGGTCTCAACATGTATTATCTTAGTTTTAAATATATCTTTATTCTAAAATAATACATTCTTGTGGTCCAAAGGTGATATATGCTAAAGATACAAAAAAATAGAGAATACTGTTGAGTATTAAGGAATTAAATACCAACTCTGACCACTAATATTTCTAACTATAGTTATTGTAAATATTCTATTGTACTTCTGCTGACCTTGTTCTATAAACATTTATTCTGTGTTCAAAGTATGGTGTGTGTGTGTGTTTATACTTGATATCATGGATTTTTTTTTGCCACTTTTCATGTCACGTTATGACAGTCATGCACACAATTAGATTTTACCTTCTCTTTATGAGTTAATTTTTATGTGTGCTAGAGAGTCATCTTGTAGGAGACCATGCATTTCATCATCTTTTATATATAAATATATATATGTATATATATATGCAAAAGTAAGTGATAACTACTTATATCTTATTACTAACATAAATATAATATAGTTAGGCTTTATGTGTTTTTGAAATGATATTATTTTGAACATGGAGAAAAGTATTTTCTCCCATTTCTGCTGAAACAGAGTGTCAGGAAGCCTCGGAAATTATGGAGGGAGCTTTGAGAAAGTTAGGAAAGAGATGGATAGAAGCAGGCACTGAAGCAATTGAACCTAATTTCTTGCCATAGATATTTTATGAATAGGACACATAGCATTTTGGTTTGTCAAGTTTTAATGTGGTGCTTTTTAAAATTTATTTATTTATTTATTTATTTATTTGAGAGGGGGAGAGAGAGAGAGAGAGTGCAGGAGTGGTGGGGGAAGGGGTAGAGGGAGAAGGAGAAGCAGACTCCCCACTGAGCAGAGATGAGGTGGGACTCAATCCCAGGACCCCAAGATCATGCCTATCCCACTAAGCCACCCAGAGTCCCCTAATGTGGTGCTTTTAAAAAGCGATTCATTTGTTTTTGTGCCAATACCATGCTGTCTTGATGATCACAGCTTTGTAATATAGCTTGAAGTCAGGCATCGTGATGCCCTTGCCTTTGGTTTTCTTTTTCAACAACCCCCTGATGATTCAGCGTCTTTTCTGGTTCCACATAAATTTTAGAATTATTTGTTACACCTCTGTGAAAAATCTCAATGGTATTTTGGTAGGGATTGCATTAAAAGTGTAGGTTGCTCCGGGCAGCATAGACATTTTCACAATGTTTATTCTTCCAATCCATGAGCATAGAATGTTTCTCATCTCTTTGTGTCTTCCTCAATTTCTTTCATAAGTGTTCTGTACTTTCTAGAGTAAAGATCCTTTCTTTACCTCTTTGGTTAGGTTTATTCCTAGTTATCTTATAGTTTTTGGTGCTATTGTAAATGGAATCAACTCCTTAATTTCTTCACTCACATTGTTAGTGTATAGAAATGCAACTGATTTCTATGCATTGATTTTGTATCCTGCCATGTTGCTGAATTGCTGTTTGAGTTCTAGTAATTTGGGGATGGAGTCTTTTGGGTTTTCCACATAAAGTATCATGTCATCTGCGAAGAGAGAGAGTCTGACTTCTTTGCCAATTTGAATGCCTTTTATTTCTTTTTGTTTTCTAGTTGCTGAGGCTAGCACTTCTAGTACCATGTTGAGAGTACCAGTGGTGAGATTAGGCTTCCCTGTCATGTTCCTGACCTTAAGGGAAAAGCTCTCAGTTTTTCCCCATTGAGAATGATATTCACTGTGGACTTTTCATAGATGGTTTTTATGATATTGAGTTATGTTCCCTTTATCCCTATATTTTGAAGAGTTTTAATCAGGAAAGGATGCTGTATTTTGTCAAATGCTTTTTCTGCATCAAGAGGATCATATGGTTCTTATCTCTTCTTTTGTAAACGTGATCTATCATGCTGACTGGTTTGCAAACGTTGAACCACTCTTGCATCCCAGGAATAAACCCCACCTGGTTGTGGTGAATAATCCTTTTAATGTACTATTGGATCCTACTGGCTAGGATCTTGCTGAGTATTTTGGCATCCATGTTCGTCAGGGATATTTGTCTGTAATTCTCCTTTTTGATGGGGTCTTTGGTTTTGGAATCAAGGTAATGCTGGCCTCATAGAAGGGGTTTGGAAGTTTTCCATCCATTTCTATGTTTTGGAACAGCTTTAGTAAAATAGGTATGATTTCTTCTTTAAATGTTTCGCAGAACTGCCCTGGGAATCCGTCTGGCCCTGGACCCAATGGACAGAATAGAGACCCCAAAAATGGACCCTCAACTCTATGGTCAACTAATCTTCAACAAATCAGGAGAGGATACCCATGGAAAAGACAGTCTCTTCAATAAATGGTGCTGGGAAAATTTGGCCATTCTCTTACACCATACACAAAAATAAGCTCAAAATGGGTGAAAGACTTCAATGTGAGACAGGAATCCATCCAAATCCTAGAAGGGAACATTGGCAATAACCTCTTCGACATTGGCCACAGCGACCTCTTTCAAGACATGTCTCTAAAGGCAAGGGAAACAAAAGCAAAAATGAACTTTGGGGACTTCATCAAGATAAAAAGCTTTTTCACACTAAAGGAAAAAGTCAACAAAACTAAGAGGCAATCCACCCATTTTTTCACAGTGAAGGAAACAGTCAACAAAACTAAGAGGGAATCTACAGAATGGGAGAAGATATTTGCAAATGACATATCAGATAAGGGGCTGGTATCCAAGATCTATAAAGAACTTCTCAAATTCAGCACCCAAAGAACAAATAACCCAGTCAATAAATGGGCAGAAGACATGAACATACACTTCTCCAAAGAAGACATACAAATCGCTAACAGACACAGGAAAAATTGTTTGACATCAATAGCTATCAGGGAAATACAAAGCAAAACCACAGTGAGATACCACTTTACACCAGTTAGAATGGCAAAAATTAACAAGACAGGAAACAAGTGTTAGCAAGGCTGTAGAGAAAAGGGAATCCTCTTATACTGTTGGTGGGAATGCAAGTTGGTGCAGCCACTCTGGAAAACGGTATGAAGGTTCCTCAAGACGTTAAAAATAGAGCTACCCTATGACCCAGCAATTGCACTACTAAGTATTTGCCACAAAAATACAGATGTAGTGAAAAAAAGGGCCATATGCACCCCAATATTCATAGCAACAATGTCTACAATAGCCAAACTGTGGAAGGAGCAGAAAGATGTCCTTCAACAGATGAATGGAGAAAGAAGATGTGGTTTGTATATACAATGGAATATTACTCAGCCATCAAAAAAGATGAATACCCACCATTTGCATTGACATGGACGGAACTGGAGGGGATTATGCTAAGTGAAATAAGTCAAGCAGAGAAAGACAATCATCATATGGCTTCACTCATATGTGGAAAAAAAGAAGAGAGTTGAGGACCACAGGGGAAGGGATGGAAAAATGAATGGAAAGAAATCAGAGAGGGAGACAAACCCTAGGAGACTATGGAACCAAATTGAGGGTAACAGAAGGCAGAGGGGTGGGGGGATGGAGTAGCTGGGTGATGGGTATTAAGGAGGGCACATGGGGGTGATGAACACCGGGTGTTATACACAATTAGTGAATCGTTGAACACTACATCAAAAACTAATGATGTACTATATGCTGACTAACTGAACATAATACTAAAAAAAAATTTTTTAATAAAAACATGAAATAGATTCAAATGAGAGTATAACATTCTGTAAATGCATGCTCTAAGCATATATACATTTCAATAGTTATCTGCTAGGGTACCAATGGTCTAAACTGTCAAGGAATAAACTGATTTTTTTTATTCTTTTTAAAATTTATTCATTAAATATTTTAATGTAATATTTTTCCAACTTTATTAAAATATAATTGACAAAAAACATTCTGTAAACTCAATTTGTACAACATGATGATCTGGTACACATATACAGTGCTTAATGATTACCATAAGTTTAATTAACATTTTTATCACTTCACATAACTATCATTTTTGTGTGTGGTGAGAACACGTATGATCTATTCTCTCAACAACTTTCATATATATAACACAGTTTTGTTAACTAAAACCATCATGCTATACATTAAACTCCCAGAACTTAATCATCTTAAACCTGAAATTTGTACCCTTTGACAAACATCTCCCCATTCCTTGGATTTATTTCTTTTCTTTCTTTCTTTCTTTTTCTTTCTTTCTTTCTTTCTTTCTTTCTTTTAATCATTTTTTTAAAATTTATTTTCAGCATAACAGTATTCATTGTTTTTGTACCACACCCAGTGCTCCATGCAATCCGTGCCCTTGGATTTATTTCTTAATGGAACATATGTGGGACCTGGTTAAAAAGGTATGTGTATATCCATTCAATAGACCCTAAGTGAGGCTTACTTACTATGTGCCAGGAATTGACCTAGACATGATTCCATTTGTTATTTAACTTAATTTGTTTATTTCCCACATCATACCTGGTTTTAAAAATATTTACTGGCCCCCCCCCCAAAAAAGTGAATCATTTGCCTCTTAGATTATAATTACACTATCTATATAATATTAAAACACATATTCTGAGTTATGAATAAAAATTAGTTAACACTTGAAAAACTAAACTGAGAATTAGAGTAATAGTGAAAAACTCTGAATAAATACACATATTTTAATTTTAGGACAGCACTTTAACCATTGTTTTATCCACAAACAGGATTTGTCAATTTCCCCTCCTGACAGGTTGCTTGGAATGTATGATATGGTGTCTTTCTACGATATCCACGTTTACATACAAATTCAACACTATCCCCTGTTCTTGCAGAAATGTGTATCTTATCAACCCATCGTAACCGTATGTTATACATTCTCATGATTTCTTCTGATACCACACATGGCTCTGAAAGTACAAAAAATGAACAAAAAAACATTAAATAGTAAATAAATATTTTCCCCAGAATTTTGGACTTTCAAGTGGAATCTTCCACACTGGTTCAGGGCTTCATTCTCAAAATCTTTTCTAAACTGGGGCACCTGGGTGGCTCAGTGGGTTAAAGCCTCTGCCTTCGGCTCAAGTCATGGTCCCAGAGCCCTGTATACTGAATTATATAATTCCTCACTGAAATTCAGGAGGATAAAAAGTGTCATAAGCTATAGCTATGGCTCCTAAACTGAAGTGTACATTGAATCCCTTGAGAATTATTAAGATATGTTCAGGGTTGCATGCCTACGTTCTTGACTCAATAGGTCTGAGTGAGTCTGAGAACTTGCATTTGCATTTCTATCAATTTCCCGAAAGATGCTGATGCTGCTATTTCGGCAGCCACACCATTGGGCTGTAAGATTACCCAGTGGGTATAGAATTTCATCCCTTTATGTTAAGGCATAACACCTTTGTTCTGGCCTTAGAAAAATAATCTATGTCCATTTTTTAATGATGCTAGAGGCATCTCTACATTATATTCTTGAGACACTTTAATAAATAGATTTCATTAAAGTACCTCTGCATATTGGCCTTCCTATCCAGTGTCTCTTAATACACTGTACAATATTGGATCCATCCAATTGGTAATATTCTGGGCATTTATAAGTCACTTTTTCTCCTGATCTACATGATTCCTTCTTCGGGCCTAGGAGTATGGCATCACCAAAGTCAGGTAAACTAGAACATTACATTTCTGAAAGAAAAAGATTAGGTACTTGGTTAGTAAATCTTTAAAAACACATAATGCCCAAAAACTATAATCTAGAACAATAGGTACATATTAAACCAATGAATACTGTACAAAACTTTTCTTACAACTTGAAAAAAGTAAGTTAGAAGTCTTGACTTAATTACATTGAATGGTTCTTTTTATTTTTTTGTTTAAGCTTTTCTTTAAAATTCTAGTTAGTTACCATATAACATAATACTGGTTTCAGGAGTAGAGCTTAGTAAATGGTTCCATGTTTATCTAAAGTATAACAGGGGAATGGGGATGTAAAAAGCCTAGAGAAATATGGATATATGTAATGCTTGAGACCATACTACTTACATTTGAATTCTTTTTTGCCCATATAGGACACCTATAGAGAAATATGGATATATGTAATGCTTGAGACCATACTACTTACATTTGAATTCTTTTTTGCCCATATAGGACACCTGTGTTATACATGTAGTTCTCATTTCTGCTTCTGTCAAAATCTGCTATCTTTAATTACGTCAAATATCTTGGAAAATTTATACATATAAGGAGAAAACTGACATACTAACAGTATATTGAACAATGATGTGATTGAGGAGCTGTGATATAGGAACACAAAAAAGAAGTATGAGAATATGTTACAGAAGTTGTCTTAAGTGCCACAAGATTATAGGAAAGTGAAATAATTTGGCTCATGTTGCCAACCTTTTATTAGTAGGGCTATTAATTCTCTTCCAGAATCCAGAACTTTCCAGAGATACCTTGTTAAAGTCTAGTATTAGTTTCATAGTTGTACAACTTATGCTCTGAATTAAGGGTAAAATTAAAGGCATTCTATTTATGCATTCTGGAGGATGGGACCATTTTTCTCCTAAACATTTTATAAATGCAGGTCCATTAATCCCAAAATCTTTGGCACAGTTTTAAGTGACTTCTTACTCCATACTGGTAACTATCTAATATATGGTGGTTAACAATGAAGTCCTTTAAAAAATAAAAAAAAAAAAAAAGTAAAAAAAAAAAAAAGAAAGAAAGAAAGTACTCCATGTTTCACAAACTCTGAAATTTATTTTATGTACTAGTTGCCATATTTAGTAGTTTTATTTAAAAAGAAAGGATTACATAGGAGCTATGATCATATCACAGAGAAGGTGCACAGATGTTTCAAAAACCAGCATTCTGGTGTGTGTCCAGCTGCCAACCTGAGCAAGAACTTGAAACTAAAAATGTCAACATATTTATCAAAGAGACTTTCAGTGCTTCTCAAACCAATAATTAATAATTAATAATTAAAGGAAAAGCATTGAGAATTAATCATCTTAAGAAAAGTACCATATATATTTTTTATATTTTATATTTTATATATATTTTTATATATTATATATATTTTATATTTTTATATTTTTATATTTTTTATATTTTATATTTTTTTAATTTCTTTTCAGCATAACAGTATTCATTGTTTTTGCACCACACCCAGTGCTCCATGCAATGCGTGCCCTACTTAATACCCACCACCTGGATCCCCCAACCTCCCACCCCCCACCCCTTCATAACCCTCAGGTTGTTTTTCAGAGTCCATAGTCTCTCATGGTTCACCTCCCCTTCCAATTTCCCTCAACTCCCTTCTCCTCTCCATATCCCCTTGTCCTCCATGCTATTTGTTATGGTCAAGTGCCATATATTATAGGAAATCAGAGGGATTGTAGGAAAAACATGAAATTGTTTTAAAAACCTCCTGGCAGAACAGGCACTACAGCTCACATAAATAGAACATGACTAGGTAAACTTATATAAGCAGGTAGGTTTAGTGTTACTATGGATCTAGTTTTAATTTTTTAAATGCCATAATTAAAAACGACTCAATAAAGAACAATGAACGGAACAAAAATATGATTGATTTGATTATACAAAAATTATTCACTACTGACCAACACAGCATGGTATTGACTGCCATCTTCCACCTTTACACACAATTTCTTCTGTATCCTGAATTATATAATTTTCTTGACAGACAACAGATAATTTTTCTCCATCCTGGTAATTCACTGTAGTTGTCATATCTTGGGCATTGGGAATCTGAGGTGGAGGTGGGCATGACTGTGTTTATAGCTCTAAAAATATTAAAATTAGATTTCTTGATTAAAAGTCATAGGTTAAAAATATCAAAAGGGTAATTAAGCAGAAAACTCAAAATGATGAACTCAAAAAAACTCAAAATGATCACATAATAAGGGCATGTTTTGGGTTAAAATACGTTATACTCTTCAGCTCGGACAGTACTTGGGTTCATCACATTTTGACTTATTCTCATGGTTTTCTTTGTACTTTCTTCCTTTCTGTGATCATTCTTGCATAGTTTATATAAAACTGCTTTCAATTATTTCTAACCATTAGGATGTTCTAGCTGAATTACTCACTCAGTATAGCACTGAATAAAGACTGGTAGAAAGACCTTAAACCTTCACAGGATATTCTACCAAAAGAAGGTGATTAGCCACAGGAAGAATTACACTGAGTTAGCCATCAATTGATTTGATACAAATTACTGGCCAAGATAAGAATGAACAAATTCTTGGCCAAGATAAGAATGAAATATGTTCACTAGTGATTTATAGTGTGTTGCTTAAAACACAAAACTCCCCGGGAGGTACCATTAACTAGCTTGCCCACGCTGTTTAAAGATATATAGACTGATGAACAATTTAATGGATTAGACAGCCTGCCTTTATTTACATGACCAGTGGGATATAAAAAACCTCTCTGTAAACTGTCTGAACTCCCATAGAACTGAGACACCTTGGTTATGTCTGGGCAGTTAATAACTTGAAGGCAAAGCACGTCCTGGTCAACTAAGGAAAGATTCTGGATGACTACACCTGGAAGCTTCTGGATCTCTCTATGATTCTTGATTTTGCTTTCTCCTGTCACACCATATCTTTATTTCATTAAAAGTTTTCTGTGAGTATACCCTGGGAAGTTGTTGATATCCTTTCAGTTGTCTACATTTTATATTCAGTTCAGGGAACTATTTGACTGAGTAGACTTCATTCATGCTACTAATGTCAAATTTTCCAAGTTGTTATGAGTATTGTATATTTCATCAAAAATACTTCTTTTTGGGGGATGCCTGGGTGGCTCAGTGGGTTAAGGCCTCTGCCTTCAGCTCAGGTCATGATCCCAGGTCCTGGGATCAAGCCCGGAGTCAGGCTCTCTACTCAGCAGGGGGCCTGCTTCCCTTTCTCTCTCTCTGCCTGCCTCTCTGCCTACGTGTGATCTCTGTCAAGTAAATAAATAAAATCTTTTAAAAAAACATTTTTCTTTTTGGAATACCTGGGTGGTTCAGTCAGTTAAGCATCTGCCTTTGCCTCAGGTCACAATCCCAGGGTTTTAGGATCAAGCCCCATATCAGGTTCCCTGCTCAGCTGGGAGGCTGCCTCTCCCTCTTTCTCTCTGCCCCTCTCCCCACTCTTGTGTGCATTTTCTCTCTCTTTCACCAACAAAATCTTTTAAAAAATATTTTTTCTTGTATTTATTTTAATTATCTTGACATATTTTTTTCAATGTATTCTCTTCTATGTCTGATGTTTAACCATTTTTTTGTCTAATAATCTAAACTTGTACTTCCTCTTGATAAGTCTTGCCAGAGGTTGATGTATTTACCAGAGTTCCCTAAAAGCTAAGTTATGATTCTGTAAACCAGATGTTTATGCTTTTTTTAGCTTCTCATTATAACAGTTTATGCTTTAATTATTCATTCCTTCCAAGTTCTTTAGGTGCATTTTTTTCCTAAATTCTAAATGATAATTCCTAATGCTTTTATTTTGTTCCTTGTTTTATAATGCATGGTTTAAAGCTATAGATATTTTCGCCTTTTCTGTGTCCCATAGATTTCAATGTGTACTGTTATCTTGTCATTTTATGTATTTTCTGTTACTTCTGTTATATATTCTGTTATTTCTGTTATTAACTACCCATTTCATTATATAAGCAGATATCTTATATGAACTCATAAGTTTTCCTTGAAAATTTTATGGAAATGAAAAGACCAGAATAAGTAAAACAATTTTGAATAGCAAGAACATAATTGGAGAACACAAATTAGACTTCAAGACTTATTACAAAGCTGTAGTTACCAAAACAATGTGGCAGGAATAAGGATAGATAAACACATACATGGGCTGAAAGAAAGTCTAGAAATAGATCAATATTTACATAGCTAACTGATTTTCATTTCAAAGCCTTCTCCACACATATTGCTAGACAACGGGCATCTATATATTTTTTTAAATCAACCCTTATGTTACACGAAGCTCAAAAAGTAATAATATAAGATGGACAATATACCTAAATATAAATGCTAAAACTCTAAAACTTCTAGAAGTTAATGTAGAGCATCTGTGTTTCACTGCGTGCAAATATTTCTTATTTCTTTTTTAAAAAGAACTAAAAATAGCTTGAACTGTAGAGAGTAGATAGGGTTTTTGTAGTGGGTATGACACTACTTTCTTTGTATTCTAGGCTTGAAAAAATTGGTTAAAATATTGAAAATAGTGAGATAAGGTGCCTTACAGATAGAGACAAGAGATACAAAACATGAAGAGTAGAAAACTAGAATAAAGCCTGTACTATTCAGTTGGAATTGGTGGTGTTAATAGGATGCAGAAGTTGCAAGACTGATAAACACATAAATAAACAGATGACTAGAGAGATAATACATCCATACATACATACACGGATAGATACATAAATGGATATATAGATAGATACATGGATACATACTAATTATAGGCATAGGTACATTTGTGTATAATAAAAGGTGTTAAAAGCAATGATATTCTAATATTAATGAGTACACCTACTGCTAGATGTTAATTTAAAGCCAAGTTTCTGGGTGGTTTGTTATATAGCTGACTAATACACATGATACAATCAGTATTTAGAAGCAGTGTTTTGGTTATTTTTTAAATTACCTTCCAGCTTGAAAATTTTTGAATAATAAATAGCTAATTTTTTAAGATACAAAGATCATTATTTTACAAATTAGAAATCAAATAAATTCTTGAAAATTTTATAAATAAGAGCTTACTTGTGCAGGCTATTTCAGGATCCCATCTTCCATTTATGCAGATTGAGTGCTTGTGCTCTGAACTTCCTTTACATTTGTAACTTATGTTGGTGTTATGATCAAATTCAACCTCCTCATGTGATAATTTACATTTCTTAAGTTCATTTGTTGCTGTAAAATTAAAATATTCCCTTGAAAAGACTAATTATAAAAATCAAAACAACTACTATGTAAAAAATGGCTATAGATATCTGGAACAAATAATCCTAAAATTTGTATAGAACCAGAAAAGTCCTGGAATAGTCAAAGGAATGTTGAAAAGAAAGCCAAAGCTGAAGACATACAACCCTGGACTTCAAACTCTATTACAAAGCTGTAATCATCAAAACAATATGGTACTGGCACAAAAACAGACACATAGATCAATGGAACAGAATAGAGAGCCCAGAAATAGACCCTCAACTCTATGGTCAACTAATCTTCAACAAAGGAGGAAAGAATATCCAATGGAACAGATACAGTCTCTTTAACAAATGGTGCTGGGAAAACTGGACATCCACACGCAAAAGAACGAAACTGGACCATTTCCTTACACCACACACAAATATAGACTCAAAATGGATGAAAGACTTCAATGTGAGACAGGAATCCATCAAAATCCTCGAGGAAAACAAAGGCAGCAACCTCTTTGTGACCATGGCCACAGCAACTTCTTGCTAGACATACCTCCAAAAGCAAGAGAAACAAAGGCAAAAATGAACTATTGGGACTTCATTGGGATAAAAAGCTTTTGCACAGCCAAAGAAATAGTCAACAAAATCAAAAGACAACCAACAGATTAGAAGAGGATATTTGCAAGTGACATATAAGATAAAGGGCTAGTATCCAAAATCTATAAAGAACTTATCAAACTCAACACCCAAAGAACAAATTATCCAATCAAGAAATGAGCAGAAGACATGAGCAGACACTTCTCCAAAGAAGACATCCAAATGGCCAACAGACACATGAAGAAAGTGCTCCACATCACTCGGCACTAGGGAAACCCAAATCAAAACCACAGTGAGATACCACCTCACACCAGTCAGAATGGCTAAAATTAACAGGTCAGGAAATGAAAGATGTGGCTATTATCAAAAGACAAGAAATAATAAGTGTTCATGAGGATGCACCTGGGTGGCTCAGAGGGTTAAGCCTCTGCCTTCGGCTCAGGTCTTGATCCCAGGGTCCTGGGATATAGCCCCGTATTGGGCTCTCTGCTCAGCAGGGAGCCTGCTTCCCCGCCCCACTCTCTGCCTGCTGCTCTGCCTACTTGTGATCTCTGTCAAATAAATAAAAATTAAAAAAAGAGGGACGCCTGGGTGGCTCAGTTGGTTAAGCAGCTGCCTTCGGCTCAGGTCATGATCCCAGCGTCCTGGGATCGAGTCCCACATCGGGCTCCTTTCTCGTCAGGGAGCCTGCTTCTCCCTCTGCCTCTGCCTGCCATTCTGTCTGCCTGTGCTCGCTCTCTCTCCCTCTCTCTCTCTGACAAATAAATAAATAAAATCTTTAAAAAAAAAAAATTAAAAAAAGAAAACAGATCCCTTCTGTCCTGTTGGTGGGAATGTAAACTGGCATAGCCACTTTGAAAAACAGTATGGAGGTTCCCCAAAAAAGTAAAAATAGAACTATCGTATGGTCTAGCAATTCCACTTCTAAGTATTTATCTGAAAAAAATGAAAACACTAATGTGAAAAGACGTGCACCCCCTATTTACTGTAGCATTATTTACAATAGCCAAGATTGGGAAGCAAACTTAATGTCCATCAACTCATGAATGGATAAAGAAGAGGTGGCATATAAATACAAGAAAACATTATTCAGTCAATAAAATCTTTTCATTTGTGACAACATGGATGGACCTTAAGGCATTATGATAAGAAAAATAACTCAGATAAATACCAGCTCATTTATTTATATGTGCAATCTAAAAAAAAAGTTTTTTGTTCTAGAAGAACAAATTGGTTCTTACCAAAGGTGGGGGTGAGTGAAATGGGTGAAGGAAGTCAAGATACAAACTTGCAGTTATAAAATAAATAAGTCATGGGGATGTAATGTACGGCATAGTGACTACAGTTAACAATACTGTGCTGTATATTTTTAAGTTACTAAGAAAATAGATTTTGAGGGGTGCCTTAGTGGCTCAGTTAAGGCTTTGACTCTTGATTTCTGCTCAGGACATGATCTCAGGGACATGAGATCTAGCCCCACCTCAGGTTCCATAGAGCCTGCTCAAGATTCTTTCTCTCCCTCTCCCACTACCCCTCCCCGACCCCTGCTCTCACACAGGCTTTCTTTCTCTCTCTCTTTCAAAAAATAAAGTAGATCTTTAAAGATCTTGTCACAAGAAAAAATAATTTCTGTAACTATGTATGGTAATGGATCTTAACTAGGCCTATTGTGATCATTTCACAATGTATACAAATACCAAATCATTACCTTGTATACGTAAAACTAACATAATGCCCCATGTCAATTTATATTATAGATTATAATTATAAATTATAAATAAATATATCAATTAAGATCCACCTAAAAAAAGAAATTGGTTGTTTAAAGGCATGAAGTGTCTTCTGTATATACTTTTAGAATCTTTGAGAAGCATTTTTTTTACACCTGATCTATAATCCAGCAATATTATAATGCCATAATAATACATTTTTGCTTTACTTCAATATGTTAAGTATGGACTACAGAAACTTTTTATATAGCTATATATTTCAATAACTCAACAAAAGTGGTATTCCTTTTTGAAGTTGATAAAATCTCTTTGTAGGTCTTTCAAGTATTTGTTAATAGTTTAAATGCAGAGTCAGGCAAAGATGAAAGTCAAGTAATTGACCAAAGAAAAGTAAAGATTTTATAATGCAACCTAAAAAAAGAGGCAGGGAGGCTAATTCAAAACAAACTAGAGGCTCAAGCTTAGTCCTATTTTTAGAATGGGTCCAGGGTGTCGAACAAGATAAGACAAAGTATTCTTCAAGGCAGGGTGAGTGAAGGAAGATCTATAATCAAGAGGAGTGGTATTGGTGGTCATCATGTCCAATTTTTGAAAGAATTTCTTTATTAGGAGAAAATAAACATATGGAGAAGAGTGAAAGGAAGAATGGAGGTACAAAGTAAACATTAAGAGGGGAAAACAGGAGATGCCTGGTGGCTCAGTGGGTTAAGCCTCTGCCTTCAGCTCAGGTCATGATCTCAGGGTCCTGGGATCCAGTCCCGCATTGGACTCTCTGCTCGGCGGGGAGCCTGCTTCCTCCTCTCTCTCTCTCTGCTTGCCTCTCTGCCTACTTGTGATCTCTCTCTGTCAAATAAATAAAATCTTAAAAAAAAAAAAAAAAAAAGAGGGGAAAACAGGAGCAAAACCTAAGATAGCCAAGAAAGTTCTATTGCATTCAACATAGGTAGAAGATTAATGTTAAGAAGGCAAACTCTGAGACAAGGGAGAGCAATCATTGAAGGTGATGTTTTGGTGTAAGTTATGATGAAATGCTGAGAGTTTTCATGCCTGATACTACCTTGGGTTTTTCCCTTATAGGAAAGAAATGAGGTGAGATCATTTGTGGGGATAGAAGAGCACATGAATGAGGTTTGGGCTTGGGGAGACTGACAATACCTTTGACAGGAATGTGTTGAGCAAAATTACGCTAACAAGCAACAAAATGTGTTGATCTAGTTAACAAACTCCTATCAAATGTCTCCTCTGTGTCAGCCAGTTTTCTGAGTTTTGTGAGAATACATCAGTGGACAAAACAAGTATGAATCCCTGCTCTCATGGGGAGATTGAGTCTAAACTACAGCTTCTACTGGGATTTGTAAATGCCTAGAAATCAGATGAAGAAGTGAGACTGGACATCCAGGGCTCTCTTCGAATACAGAACCCAGGAAAACTCTTGGAAAGAATTCAATCAAAGGGAAAAGTGAAAGAGAGCCCCCAAGATTCTCCAAGTTAGGCCTTCAAGGATGGGATGATTCATACTTACACAATCAGAATTTTTTTCCTGGCCCATCTTCGACTACCTCCCTTGACTGAGTTATGCTCCTGACTGAGAGAGCCTGCCACCCACCCTCCTACCCTCCAGCTCATGCCCTTCTTTGTGCTGCATTTGAAATAGGCTGAGCAATCATCATTGTTAGAAGCTTTGAGAGAGCCAAGATTCTGATGGGAGTGGAGCAAATGGGTATTTTCTCAACTTCATTTCAGTTTCCCAGGGCCTGAAAGAAAGAGAGCTATATAAAAGCAAAAATGGTATTTATATAAAGATAGTTACATTTTCCTGGTAATTGGTGCTCGTGTTTTAATCATATATATTCCTGCAAGTAAAATTTAGTTTCACATTTATAAACAAATGTTAACATCAGGGACAGAAAGATTCATAAGTTCAATTACTAATTAATATTTTTCCTCTGTAGATATTGAACTATAAACAAATGTTTTAATTCATTATAACTTAAGACCTGACATTTTCACAAATAATCTCTGAATTTCAAAAATATTGTTATATCTATATATATCTAGAAAGGCTATTCAGGGCACCTGAGTGGCTCAGTCAGTTAAGCATCTGCCTTCCACTCAGGTCATGGACCCCTGCATTGGGCTCCCTCCTCAGTGGGGAGTCTGCTACTTTCTATCCTCCTGCCCCTCTACCCCACTTATGTTCTTGCTCACTCTCTCTCAAATAAATATATATTTTTAAATTTTTAATATTTTTAAATTTCTTAAAAAATGCTATTCTCACCAACACACTGAGGAAGTTGGGTCCACATTCTTCTAACATGTGTAATTGATCTATGTCCAATCAATGTAAATGTTTCTCTGCAATTGAACTCCACTGAAGCTCCATGGTGAAAGGGAGGGGAAGAAAATTCAACAACATAGCCATAATCAAGCCCAGGTATAGCTCCACATGTACTGCCCTCTGTAAAAATTTCGCAAAAATATGTTTATCTTTAAAATATAATTCATGTGGTTATATGAATACAAACACAAAATATTGATTTAATCAAGTTTGAATATTCATGATTTTTATACATTACCAACACATATAGGTAATGTTGTCCATTTTCCATCAACACATTGAATTTTATTGGGACCCTTCATCAAAAATTCAGGTTGCAAACATATTCCACCAATTCATTGTGTTCATAATTTTCTTTGTTTGCTTCTTTAGCCTTCCCATTGGGGAGTTGAGGAGGTGCGCCACACAATTTTACTAGCTCTACAGTAGAAATACTGTGTAAATAATGGTGACAGTGTCTATTTTATATTTAAAGATCCACTAAAACAGAGATATTTTTCTTTAATCAATTTATTATTTGTGACTAAATTTATTATAGCATTCTTAAGCAATTAAAAAATGGTATTTACAACAGATTCATTTCCCAGTTCTATTACTAATATTGAACTAGCATATTAGAAGTACATTCAAGCCTTGAAAACACATTCAATATATATATAGGCATAAATCTGGCTAAAGACATGTAAAACTGATAAACTGAAAATAAGAAAACATTACAGAGATAATCTAAAGGCTCAAAGAAAAGAAAGATAGTTCAGAAGATTTAATATTACTAAGATATCAATTTTCCCCAATGATCTATAAATCCAATATTATCCCAATCAAAATCACTGCAGGTGTTTTTGAAGAGATTGAGAAACTGAGTCTAATATTCACATGTAAATGCAGAGAACTTAGAATGGCTTAAAAAATTAAAAAGAAGAAAAGTTTAAAGGACTAACATTATGTGCTTTCAATACTTATTACAAAACAGTAATTAAGAAGCTGTGGTTTGGGCATAAAGACAGATGGTAAAAAACAGAATAGAGTTCAGAAATAGACTCACATCTATATGGACAAATGATTTTTGACATAGCTGCAAAGGGCAATTCTGGGGAAAATGATCATTTTTCCTACATATTGATATAGAAGAACAATTGGATACCCATACACAAATACAATCAGAGTTTTGATTCTATCATATCTCATACACAAAAATTAACTAAAAGTAGAACATAGATCTAAATATAAAAACAAAACCTTTAGAAAACAGGAGAAAATCTTTGTGAGCAAAGATTAGCAAAATGTCTTAGATATGACACATAAAAAAACCAAAGACACAGAAAATATTTTCCGATTACTTTACAATCGTATAAACATAAGAAATTTCAAGGGTAGATTACAAACCTCGGTAAAGCCCTGAATTTAGTTTCGAAAGTATAGTTCAGACAAATAGGAAAGAGTAGCAAAAAGTATGTTCAATGATCTAAATATTCTAAAGATGTATCCAAACCAATTAGTAAATATGGCTGTACAAGTATATTAATCATATTGCATGCAACATATTATCAAAAAAATATTTAAGTACCATAATTTGAGACAAGGGACAAGCACTTGATCAACATATTTTAGCTTTGATTAAGCCATACATGTGATGGACCTGACCAAAAGTTGCTTATGATTGTTTAGACACAATCAATGAAATGAGTTAAGGCCAATGCTATTAAAAAAGTCCAATACTGGGGAAAAAAAAAAGGCCAATGCTAATAGCAGAATTGTAGGCAAAAAGAAAAGTAACAAAGTCCCTTCAGTGTCAGACACCCTATAAGTATCTATGGATACTTCTACTACATATTTCAATAAACAATTGGAAATTAATTTCTAGTTCTTATTTCAGCAATTGTAGGATAAATATTCACCTTTAGATGTTGGAAAATTAGGGGACCATCCAAAGTGGTAACACTGAACCGAATCTGGTCCAACTCTTGTGAATCTTTGTCTGCAGGAGAATTTCAACTGTCTCCAACTTTATATTTGTCTTTTCTGGGCTCAACAATTAAGTATTTTTCTATTAGAGGAATCTCACATTCTCTTTCTATTAAAAAAGATGAAAGAATTTAATAAGAATATATAATTAATCATTGCCAAAGTAAATTTCACATGTGTCACACAATAATGGGGGAGAGGCAAGGTATTACATATACAGAGGAGCTTCTGATAAATTCTCTTCTTTGAAAACTGTTATATATTAGATTTTATATACTCTCTAAATCCATACAGGACTCTGAGAAATATTAAGGTGTTGAGCAGCAATAGTCATGTCCTAAAATTTATTTGTGCAGTCAGTTTGCCTATACTGAATCAGATTTTTATCACTGACATTTACAAAATCTAATGTTATTTTTTTTAGACTTTCAAAACAAACCAGTGTCTCACATTAGAAAAAAACTCATGATACAATTTTTAAATTGCACACTTAAATAAAAATTGGTATTTTTGTTTAACGTAACTGGGAATCTAGAACTCTAAAGAGAAACACTTCTAAAGTATTTTAGTTAGAGGAACATTTAAAAATCTTAATCGATACTTTATAAGTGAAGAAATCAAACTGAAACACAAAACAAAATGAAGAAACGTGTTCAAGGCCACATAGTCATATTCTAGGTGTCCTGAATATTTATGCAATATGTAACTACCTATAATTATACCTATAATTATAGTAACTGTTAATAAATTGTTAATTGTTCTGATTCAAATTAGGAAGGTATAAAATTATTCCTTAAAATGCACGATATTTGTGACATTGCTAAGTATTATCAAAAACTGCATTTTTCTTATTAGGAATCCTCCTATCTTTCTAACTAATTTAAAAAATTAAAAACTGAAATTAAAAATTAAAAATTAATTTAAAAATTAAAGTCATACTAAAAAGAATATTTATACTATCTAAAGTCAAGTATTTATACATAAATCATAAAACTAAGACAACTATTTTTAAAAGTAATGCCACAAGGTTGGAGGTAAGATGACAGAGGAGTAGCAGACTGAGATGACATCAGGTCACAGGAGTTCAGCTAAATAGTTATCAAACCATTCCAAACACCTACAAACCCAACAGGAGGTCGAAGAGAAGAAGAGCAGCAATTCTAGAAACAGAAAATTGACCACTTTCTGAAAGGCAGGACGTGCACAGAAGTGAATCTGAAGGGACACGAAGATAGACCCCAGGGGGAGGGGCTGGCTCCCGGCAAGTGGTGGAGCAACGGAGCACAAAATCAGAACTTCTAGAAGTCTGCTTCACTGAGGGACATCACTCTAGTAGCTAAACGGGGGTGGATCCCTCACAGGGACAGTGTGGTCTCAGGTCCTGCAGGGGTGTCTGACTATGGCAGAGTTTGAAGGTATCAGAGTGAGGAAGCCAACTACAGAGACAGAACTGAGGAGTGAACTCTCAGCTCAGGGTTGCCTTAAATCACGATATGCGACACAGTCAGGCTACTGCTCTTCAAGCAGGGACCCCATGAGTGGCAGATCCAGGGAGACTCACCTTTCTCTTCTGGAGAAGCAGTGCACCAGGAATCTGCTGGGTTTGGAGACTCCAAATGGGGCTGTGAGCCAGAGACAGAAATGCTCGGTCACAGGCCATGTGAGCATGGAGGGCGGCCGGAGACCAGGGAGACAGAAGGGACTGACCACTTTCCCCTGAGGGCACACTGAGGAGTGGGGCTTTTAGCTCTTGGCTCCTTTGGGAAGGAGACTGGGAGGCCACCATTTTCATTCCCATCCTCCAGAGCTCTACAGAAAGCGTTCAAGGAACAAAAGCTCCAAGAATGAACCCAAGCAGATTACTTAGCCTGGTCCCTGGCAAGGGTGATGCAATTCCGCCTTAGGCAAAAACATCTGAGACTCATTGCAACAGGCCCCTCCCCCAGAAGATTAGCAAGAACATCCAGCCAAGACCAAGATCACCCATCAAGGAGAACAGTGGAACTTCAGAGCTAGGGGAAAACAATGCATGGAATTCATGGCTTTCTTCCCATGATCCGTTAGCCTTGCAAAGTTAAATTAAATTTTTTTTAATTTAATTTTTTTTCTTATTTTATATTTTTTAACTTTACCTCTTTCCTTTTGTAACATTTTTTAACTAGTTTATCTGAACAATAACTTTCTTTTTTTTTTTTAAAGATTTTATTCATTTATTTGACAGAAAGAGAGATCACAAGCAGGCAGAGAGGCAGGCAGAGAGGGGAAAGCAGGCTCCCTGCTGAACAGATAATCCGATGCAGGGCTTGATCCCAGGATCCTGGGACCATGACCTGAGCTGAAGACAGAGGCTTTAACCCACTGAGCCACCCAGGCGCCCCTGAACAATAACTTTCTTGAAAAAATCTTTTTAAACCTTCACTATTATAGCATTATATTTATATTCATATATAAATTATTCATTGCATTTAACCTTATTTTTTATATATCATATGTTATATGATATATCATGATATATCATATAATATATTATTCATATATTATGAATAATATATTATATGATATATCATGATATATAATATATGAATAATCATATATTCATTGTATTTAACCTTATTTTTTGTATGCATATAGGGTTTTTTTTTTCCTAAAAAATTTTGGGATACAATTTCTTCTAATAGATCAAAATATACCTTAAATCTAGCACAGGGCTTTGTTCTAGTCTCCAGCCTGAGCACATTCTCTCCACTTTTTTATTCTTTCTTTCTTTTTCCAATCAATTTATCTTACCAATTCCTTTTTTAGAATTTTTTTTTAATTTTCATCTTTACAGTCATAGTTCATGCCTTCATCTGTTTACCCTTATTTTTGTATATCTATGTTTTTCTTTCTTTAAAATTTTGGGAGGTAGTTTCTTCTAAGAGACCAAAATACACCCAAAATCAAGTGGGTGGCTCTGTTCTATTCACCAGTCAAATAATACACACACACACATACATATATATTTTTTTAACCCCCTTTCTTCTCCTCCGATTTGAGGTCTCTTCTGAGTTGGTTAACATACATTTTTCTGGGGTCTTTGCCACCCTTTTAGTATTTTTTTTTTCTCTCATTCATATATTCTTATCTGGATAAAATGACAAGGCAGAAAAACTCACCACAAAAATAAGAACAAGAGACAGTACTGAAGCGTAGGGACCTAAACAATACGGACATTGGTAATATGTCAGATCTAGAGTTCAGAATGACAATTCTCAGGGTGCTAGCTGGGCTCGTAAAAGGCATAGAAGATATTAGAGAAACACTGTCTGGAGAAATAAAATCCCTTTCTGGAGAAATAAAAGAACTAAAATCTAACCAAGCTAAAATCCAAAAAGCTATTAATGAGGTACAATAAAAAAATGGAGGCTCTTACTACTAGGATAAATGAGGCAGAAGACAGAATTAGTCATATAGAAGACCAAATGACAGAGAATAAAGAAACCGAGCAAAAGAGAGACAAACAACTATTGGACCACGAGGGGAGAATTCAAGAGATAAGTGATACTATAAAACAAAACAGTATTAGAAAAATTGGGATCCCAGAAGAAGAAGAAAGACAGAGAGGGGCAGAAGGTATATTGGAGCAAATTACAGCAGAGAATTTCCCTAATTTGGCAAAAGGAACAAGCATCAAGATCCAGGAAGCACAGAGAAGCCCCCTCAAAGTCAATAAAAATAGGTTCACATGCCGTCATCTAATAGTAAAACTTACAAGTCTCAGTGACAAAGAGAAATTCCTGAAAGCAGCTTGGAACAAGAGGTCTATAACCTACAATGGTAGAAATATTAGATTCACAGCAGACCTATCCACAGAGACCTGGCAGGCCAGAAAGGACTGACATGATATATTCAGAGCAGTAAACAAGAAAAATATGCAACCAAAAATACTATATCCAGAAGGTTGTCATTGAAAACAGAAGGAGAGATAAAAAGCTTCCAGGAAAAACAAAAACTAAAAAAACTTGCAAACACCAAACCAGCCCTCCAGAAAATATTGAAAGGGGTTAAGCAAAGAGAGCCTAAGAGTAGTTGACCAGAAAGGAACAGAGACAATATACAGCAACCTCAACTTACAGGCAATACAATGGCACTAAATTCATATTTTTCAATAGTTACCCTGAATGTAAATGGGCTAAATGCCCCAGTCAAAAGACACAGAGTATCAGAATCAATAAAAAAGCAAAACCCATCAATATGCTGTCTACAAGAAACTCATTTTACACCCAAAGACACCTCCAGATTTAAAGTGAGGGGGTGGGAGTGCCTGAGTGTCTCAGTGGGTTAAAGCCTCTGCCTTCAGCTCAGGTCATGATCCCAGCGTCCTAGGATTGAGCCCCACATCAGGCTCTCTGCTCAGCAGGGAGTCTGCTTCCTCCTTTCTCTCTCTCTCTCTGCCTGCCTCCTGCCTACCTGTGATCTCTGTCTGTCAAATAAATAAATAAAATCTTTAAAAAAATAAATAAAGTGAGGGGGTGGAAAACAATTTACCATGCTAATGGACATCAAAAGAAAGCGGGGGTGGCAGTCCTTATATCAGATAAATTAGATTTTAAGCCAAAGACTATAATAATAGAAGAGGAAGAACACTATATCATACTCAAAAGGTCTGTCCAACAAGAAGATCTAACAGTTTTAAATATCTAGGCCCCTAACATGGGAGCAGCCAACTATATAAACCAATTAATCAAAGACAAATCAAAAACAAAATCAAAGAAACACATAGAAAATAATACTATAATAGTAGGGGACTTTTACACCCCCCTCATTGAATGGACAGATCATCCAAGCAAAAGCTCAACAAGGAAATAAAGGTCTTAAATGACACGCTGGACCAGATGGACATCACAGATATATTCAGAATGTTCCATCCCAAAGCAACAGAATACACATTCATCTCTAATGCACATGGATCATTCTCCAGAGTAGATCACATCCTGGATCACCAATCAGGTCTCAACCAGTACCAAAAGATTGGAATCATTAACTGCATATTTTCAGACCACAATGCTCTGAAGCTAGAACTCAATCACAAGAGAAAAGTTGGAAAGAACTCAAATACATGGAGGCTGA